GAAAATGGAAAAGCAAGATAAGTTTAAGATGCTACATTAACCAAAAACTAGTGCCACGACTTAACTTGTGTTTGAATCTTTATGGTGACTATGTTAAAAAATGAAAGAATGTTCATATTTTAGTTTGCGATACAGTTCATATTCTTATTTAATTCTTACTTAACAAATACCTGAGCCGAAAATGTTAAATCCAAAAATTAAAATAATAAATTATAAAAGTAGTGAGAAACCGAATGAAAAGCAAATTGAAGAAGATCTTATACATCAGAATTATATGATTCAGAGTGGAGACATATAAGTAAAGTTTATTAAATATTTTCCATCAAGAAACAATTACACTATCTACGCGGAAACTTCTGGAAAGCTATTCAAGAAAATCTTCGAAGACAATAATAGAAGAATACTTCTGGGATGGCAATGTTTGACAGTATATCAAAATAACGACATTTCTCAGTGTAGAAAATGCTACCGTTTTAATCATACAGAAAAGAATTGCAGGAATGAGAAGATATGTGCCAACTGTGGCAACGGTCACGAAGAAGAAAATTGTAAGCATGTATCAATAGAATGCTGCAACTGTAGATATGGAAATGAAAGATATAAAAAAAATTATAATATTAACCACTCACCTACCGACAAAAACTGTCCATCGTACAAATATTATCAGGAACAACAAAACTTAAGGATACTTTTTTAAAATTCAAGTTCATCTTTTACTACTCCTATCTCTAAAGAGGACCTAAAAATGTCAGTAAATAAATACATTAATGATTTCCAAATTCCAAGTATTGCAACAAATATAGCACAAAACGTCGATGAACTTAATTTATGTACACAAAATTCTGATGCAAAATTTCGAATTTTTAATATGAACATAAGGAGTATAAAACACAACATTGATTACTTAAAAATACTACTCGACCAAATATGGTACAATTTTGATCTAATAGTTTTAACTGAAACGTGGCGAGTGGCTGATATTTCTTGCTTCAATCAGCTGGGATATGACACGCTGTATAACTTTGGCACTTATAACCAAAACGATGGGGTGATAGTTTTTGTAAGAAATAAACTGCAATATAATCACGATACATTCACTTTCACCGATGGAATCAAAACTTTAAACATAATGATCCAAATTAACCATAACAAAATTGAGGTATCTGCAATTTATCGTCCGCCATGTTCAGAACCCCACGAGTTTTTAAAGAATATCGAATTTTTTTTTCAAAATCAAAATAAAGTTCATTTAAAGCAACATATTTTCTTGGGAGATGTCAATATAAATATTTTGGACGATGATCCCATCACAAATGAATACTTGAATATCCTATCAAGTAACGGATTTCTGTCCTATATAAACCTACCTACAAGGTCCATCAGTGGCACATGTATAGATCACTGCTTTGTGAAAGACCTATCCAACAAAATTACTTGTATACCAATAATCCTAGAAAGCGATATTACTGACCACTTCTCCACTATTTTACTGATATCTTCAAATGAAAAACATTCTAACATCCCTACCGTTAGTAACAACCAAATTTTTTGTCGACAATTCAAAACTAATATCAAATGTCAAACAAGAATCATGGGAACAATTATACTCTATAAATAATATAGACAAAGCAACGGGACTGTTCATAGAGAAAATAAAAAACTAATAGATATTAGTACCAATAAAGTAATAATTAGTCACAAAGAGAAAAGCAGAAATGCCTGGATTACCAAAGGATTAATAACATCGGCAATAGAAAAAGAAAGACTATATAATGTACTGAAACTAACGCCAACTACAGAGAATACCGACTGCTACAACCAATATAAAAATAAATTTATAGAGCTTGTAAGGCAAACCAAACGAAAACATTACCTAAATAAATTGAATAATAACTTAAATGATCCTAAGCGGCTTTGGACAACTATTGATGAGATTACTGGGAAAACAAAAGTTGAAGAGTGTGTCACTGAGTTAAATACAACATCGGGAACAGTATTAAAAAATACTCAACAGATATGCGATGAATTTGTACAATTCTTTACTGACATAGGCGAAAATTTAGCAAGTAATATACAAGCAAATGTACAAAATACTCAGCCTCCAAAAAGAACTTTGAACTCATTTATTTTGGATAAAGTCGAGCAATGTGAAGTATACACCACTGTTATGTCCTTAAAAAATCGGAAAAGTCCTGGGTTCGATGGTATTAAAAGCGAGCATTTGAAAATTATAGCCGAGGACATAACAGAACCACTCACTTACCTAATCAATAAATGCTTTGAATGTGGCATATATCCCTCAATTTTAAAAAAAAGGTAATATAATACCGATACATAAATCAGGAACAAAAACAGATGTTAACAACTATAGACCAATATCAATAATATCCAGTGTTGCAAAGGTTTTTGAAAAAGTTTTATCTACTAGAATGATTCGATACCTCACAAAATTCAAAATTTTAAGTGAAAATCAATATGGATTTACAGAAGGGAAGGCTACATCGGACGCAATAACTAAAATTGTAAATCAAATACATCAAAATATTGATAACAGAATCCCTTCAATCTGCATTTTTGTTGATTTAAAGAAAGCTTTCGACACAGTTAATCACAAATTATTATTAGAAGCATTGGAGAGAATTGGTTTCAGAGGAAACGCGTACTCACTGATCGAAAGTTATTTGTCAAATCGCCCACAATCTGTGCAGATATCAGGATCACTTAGTAAAGAAATGTATATTAAGTGTGGTGTCCCACAAGGAACTGTCTTAGGTCCGCTGTTATTCAATATATATTTAAATGATATTTTCCAAATTAATTGTGTTGGAAAAATAACTAGTTTTGCAGATGATACTGCAATATTATATGAAGGCACTGACTGGTCTGATCTGAAAAATGTAATTGAAAATGATTTTATCAAAATTATTCGGTGGTTTAACAGTAGAAAATTAAGCATTAACTACTCTAAAACACATTTTTTTACCATTTGGATCTTATGCTAGACATCTGCCAAATTACACAAATTTCTCCTTCAATATTAATGATCAAAAAATGCAAATTAATAGAGTGCCCAACATAAAATACCTTGGAGTGGTCTTGGATCCTCACTTACGATGGGACATCCATGTCAATTATATTTTAAAGAAAGTTAGATTTGTATCCTACAAAATTAAATACCTTGGGAATATATTGACAGAAAAATATCTTCGAACATTATACCATGCACTGATTGAGCCTCATCTTACATATGGTATATTAGCATGGGGAGCTGCATGTTCCTCACATATCTATAATTTAGATGTTTTTCAAAAAAGTATTCTAAAAATGATATTCAAAAAACCGAAACTTTATCCCACTGAAAAATTATACGCAGATGTTCGAATGTATGATATAAGACAGCTTTATTTCTTACATAGTATCACTCACTACCATAAATTTGTAAACACCGACCAAGAAATTAAACATAATCATTATACCAGGTACAAAATTCGTGGCACAGTAGTTCCTCAACCGCATAAATCCATAATGCAGCGATCATATCTCTATTTAGCGCCTAAATTTTATGAAATTATACCTAAAGACTTAAAAGATTTACGTTTCGGAAATTGTTTCAAAAGAAATTTAAAAAAGTGGCTACATTCTATATCTAGGACTGAAATTCATAAACTCATAAATACGAACATCAACTAAATACATGATCTACTGTAGCTAATTTTTGTCCTTTTTTGTCATTTGCATTCTACAGTTTCAACTTAAATTTATTGGTCCATGTACAGGCGATGCCTTCTATTGGGCCTGTTTTGATTTTATATTTATTTACTCATATTGTTTGTTATCTTTGTACGTTGAGTGAATAAATATTATTATTATTATTATTATTATTATTATATAAACCGTTACTTCAATATGCTACTTTGGCAAGCATAGATGCTGCTTTCACCCTTTTTGCAGACGACACCAATCTCTCCCTTACTGCAGGTTCTTTGGTTGGATCCATATTGGGAATGTAAGCCGTACAGTCGGATATTAAGATTTGGTGCGAAGCGACTGGACTTCTACTGAATCAAAGAAAAACCCAACAGTTGGTGTTCTCACGGCGAAACCTAGGCGACGTAAATATGAATACATCATCTGCAAAATTCCGGAGGAGTACGTCCACCCGTATCTTAATGTTCACATAAACCATGTGGCGAAAAAACTTGGGTCTGCACTGTACGCGTTACGACGCCTAGAGGAATGCGTGAGTACATCGGTATTGAAAACCGCTTATTATGCATTATTTCATTCCATCATGTCATACGCTTTACTAATCTGGGAATGTGCGGCGCAATCACATCGTGTATCTGGCATTCGGAGGAAGGCCTTCCGGATAATTAAGGGATTTGATCTTAGTGCTGTTTATAGATAGGCTTCTAGAGACCTAGAGATTTTAACGTTGCCCTCCCAATACATCATCAACTGCCTTATCCACAAAAAGAACAACTTCACTATGTTCAGAATTCACAGTGACGTTCACGAACACGATACCAGGTTCAAAAGTAATCTAATGCCAGAGTAATTACGTCTAACGAGGTGTCAGACGTCTCCAGAGTACCAGGGCATACAATTTTTTAATCATCTGAAGAAATTGAAGAAATAATTCCAATGAAAATGGAAACAAAATATTAAATTAAATATTCGAACACACCTTCTTCTTGGGTTTGACAGTAAGCTAACTTATTGTAGCAGTCTGTAGGAACATTTTGGCAACGCGGCAGATTGCATGACCTTCTACGTGACTGTTGCTAGGCAATATAGTGATGACCTTTGCTCTTCAGTCAGCTTTTATATCTTTCTAACATGTGTTGATACACACTTCTCGCCCTTCTCTCTCGTACACATTGAACTCAAGCAGTCAGACAAATGTGGTTATCCCTGTATAATCTTAGCTTGATTTGGATGAGTCACTGATCGCGCTCCATGTTACACGATTACACTCATCAGGAAATAAACATCATTAATTCAACTCAAATCAACTTTATTTTCATGCATAAAATGTATTCCACCTAAATGGAGATATGCCAGCAAAAACAATTCACAAAAAGAACTTCCTTCTACTTGTCTCCATTTTATGCCGTCTTCCATCTATGATCCATTCATACTGCACATATTTGCTGTCAAAGGTGCCTTTCTGCAGAGATTTCAATCGCAACGTAAATCTCGGCCCGAGCTCCTTCAATCTTGCTCTCTTGCCATCAGCGTCGAAACCGTACCTAAAAAGGGAATTGCCTTTATTGTACTTACTAATACCCTTGGCGCAAAGTCGGAGCTATAAAGGGGGACCACAGCCGGTCAACCATGGACAGCTGTTTCGTGCTTTTTGGAAACACCTCAGCATGGTCTAGGCATGATCTCAGGTAGAACAATATATTACTAGTTTCTTCAATGGTGAGTAGACTGTATCTGCTATACCACCAAAATCAAAGGGCATCTAGCGGTCACAGTGGTGATCTGGAGGTTAAACTAATCCTAGAATTTTTACTACGTATTAATCCATGAATAACGTCACCTCAACAAGATGTCATTTCTGAAAGATGCGATTAAAATCGGATAGCCCGAAACCAAGCACTAGCGCTACTGTAGCGATATCCCAACAGTTTAGATCTGGTTTAGCTCCCAATGGCCTTCACAGGTTTAATGCAGTAAAAGGCCGTTATTGCATAACAAGGTTCAAATTTGACTGACATCTTAACCAAAAATACTTGTAGGAATGATAAATACTCACCTATAATGTCTGAAAAAGATATTATCCCTCTGATTATGGTAGGCGACAGCTCTGGCGCCTTGAAATTCTGGATCATAATGGAACAAAGCTCCCAACATTCTGCCAACGGTGAGACCCAGCCTTGTCTTAAAATTGTTCAAAATAACTTCTGGTCTATGTGCAGTAATATCCTTGTGAGATTTTCTCAATTCCGTTGTGATTTTCACACAACTCAATCTGAAATGAGCTGTTGGTCCATTTGGCAAATGTATAACCAACAGTCCATCGGGCTCCTTCCTATTTTCATTTATTACAAGTATGTCTGTGAATTCATTTTTAATGGCACTCTTTACCATTTTCTTTACACCTGATCTATTTCTATAGAGCGACACTGAATTGGGATTATCCTCTTCAATTCCCTCCCAAAAATTCTAGTTTTCTGGAACAAAAACAAGGTCGTTGGAAGAGGTTAATTATAAGAAAATCTAATCGAAAAGCTACCACTCGTCTTATCAAGGGTGTCTGGTGGCTTGAAGGGAAAAAATAACTCCCTTAGGGTTTTAGAACCAACCCTGTTTTCAGTCTTGTCAACTTTCAAGATTCTCTATCTGATTATGAAGAAAGAACAGGTCGCTGGTTTACCTCCAAAGTTCATTGTTTCCAGTTATTCATGCTTTAACTCCTTAAAAATCCCCTTCTATTTTGCATCTATTGAAATTATTTTCATAAATCAGAAAATAATGTTACAGAAAACTTATTACAGACCATCTTTGATAGAATGAGCAGGTGTGTCTTAAGCCATATGGGGGAACTTGGGCACACAAGAGCATGTGGCTTGTGGCTTAAGAGACCCCAGGGTAAAATCTGCAGCCTTTCTTTGCCACTGGGGAAAAAAAGGGTAGATAGTGGACAAAGAAGTTTACACTACTAATTGATTTTTGAAATTCTCGTTTGATTTTTGAGCATTGGAAAATCTAATAAATTGGATGTGAGACACGTATAATTTTGTCTTAAGTAACTAGATAATTGTTTTCAATATCTAGGCTGAGCTATTCCTAATTCTGGATCCCCGCACAGAGGTTATTATGAAAAAAAAATCTTATAAGAATGAACAAAGCTGCTGTTTTTGTCTTATCCAGTGAACAAACACATATAAGCTGATCTCATCTTCATAGGATTGTCAGCATATGTTATTAACAGTTTAGGTTCATAGGATTGCTTGTAGTAGTCACTGAACTCATCATTCTCTAGATCTTCTCGTACTAACTGGTTCTCTTCTGCTTCCAAATCCTGAATAATAGTTTCGTCCTTTTCTCTTAAACTTTCAATTGTGTGTGGCTGCTGTTTTGGCAAACCTTGCTTCTCTCTTTCTTTCTTAGCTTCTTTTTTAGCCTAAAACACAATGATCCAAGAAAACAGAACTTTAAACAGAATTATCGGGTGCTTTGCTAAAGTTATGAGGCAGAAAGATAAAACTCCCTCATTTTGAATACCAAGCAATCATGAAATTCGTCAGTTGGTCAGGTGAAGTTAAAGACTTGCTAAGGTCGGGCCGTGTTCGAACTGTTCGTACTCCGGAAAATATCGAGAGAGTTCATATCTGGGCATTAGAGAACCCTCGTGTCATCAACGACCACTGCATCCTCGTCGAGTCACAGATTGGTGCGGTGATTGGTATAGAGGTGTCGTTGGACCTTACTTCTTTGAAGACGCTGCAGGTAATTCTCTTACTGCTCCTGACGAGCGCTACCGTGATATGGTGCAAAATTTTCGGGCGATTGAAAATCTTCCTCCCGAAACCTACTCAATAAAAGAGTAAGATAAGAAAATGGAAGTATTTTATTTAATTTCACAAATATTCAAGATTCAAGCCAGTCAGTTACATATCAGCCACGATGAACAAATATATGTACTTGGCATTCTGCAACAAACAAAGCATGCTCGAGAACTGCCTTGCAGCTGGTCATTGAGTGTATCGTTTAGTCATCCCTCCCCGATCCCTCCCCAGATGACGCTTTTGGACACCACACAATCATCCAGATGAGTTCTTGCTATTCATCAAGTTTCCTTTCTTTGACATATTCAGAAATACATACTCTATAAGCTACCTCGACATTCCGTAATCAACAAATGAGCTACAGAAGACCAATACCGAATTCACCTCTGACAAAAGATCTCGAAGTTATCGCTGCATGGGGAAAGCACGATGTGATACAGTCTAATACTTCCAAGTACTATGCCTTGACTAATAAGAAGCGCCATAGCAAACACTACGCATCCGGTTTCGGCCGATGGACTTGGAGTTCAGCCGAGGAGGTACTCGTTTTGGCTGGTTGGAGTCTGGGTCACCGAGGACTTGATTTAGTACGAACACATTTCGTCAATCGCGACAGCTACTTGGAAAAACTTAGGCTATTTGTTAAGAGCCAAGAAGTAGTTTTTCCAACCATTTCACTGTGTGGAAGACTCAGATAAGACTCAGCCTCAGCCTCGAGTACCTACTGCAAAAAAAAAAATTCTGGATTCTTTTATCATCATATTTGGTCTTCGGTACGTCTAAAAATAGAAAAGTTTGTATCCATTTTGTGTCCATGAAGAAATATAATCTGGACATCAGTGTACAACAAACTACAAATTCGGCCAGTTCCACTAGAGAGCCTTTTGTGATAAATTTTGTGGGGTGCTCCTTATAAAGACGGAAGTACTTTATTTGAAGAAAATGTTCTTTAATAGTTGATTTGCTGTTTTTGCCGCGAAAACGAACCTACAGTTAATATGACGTTACTTCTGTCATCACTACCGTCGAATAGCTGTTACAGGATGCCAGAGGTATATGTCATAATGTGCAAAATGCTTTTGAACACTTTTGTAGTTCCATAGTCATCCGTATTAGGCTGAAATATTCTGGAGTAATGAAATCCTAATAATCTGGTTCAGAAACATGTGCTCTGGTCACGAAAGAGCAGTATAAAACCTTGAATCTTCTAAATTCCATCAGTACTTTAATTAATGAAATTCAGAGCTGGCATAACAGTTGACCACAAGCTCTAATATTTACCTTGTTATAAATAGTGGACGTCACTGCTTATTAAAATCTTGCCAAAAAATAAAAACATTGTAATGGTTCTACTTTCACGATTTTTTTTACCTGTCTTTTCCATAATATCTTAGTATAGGCATTCCAACCACTCCACTAAGCACTGACGCCCTGTCGCCGTATCCAAATTCGGGGCTCATTCGGTCTGGAAATACCAGAAGGCAAGAACTCTACTTTGTCAAAAGACAACCAATCAAAAAATCTCAAAAAACTGTTGCGTTATGAGCTAGATGGAACGTTGTTCATAGATCTCGTATTCGAACTCATCTTAGTGCTAGGAGTCAGAGGCTTACCAATTTTTGCCCCAAATCCAGTCCGATGACACTTTAGATTTTTTTTTAATATGACATTCATATACAGCGCCCCAAATTACCTTATTGTACAAAGACATCGATAATAAAAATTGATTTTCAGCACCTTTAAGTCTCAATTAACTCATAATTTTGCAGTTTTTCGCTAAACTGATAAACGAGATCAGACACATGTGAAACGACTTTGGATTCGGCTTAAGCGACACAAAATACATACCATAGAGATCATTTGAACCTCAATTGAAGCATTTTAATTTTCAGTTATTGATACAAAAAAATGCAAAAAATGGACCAGTCGGGAACGTGAGCCCAACCTTCTCATAATGCTTTTTTGGTTGCTGAAACCGAATCCGGAGCCCATTTAGTCCGGAAATGCCTCGTTTTCGAGATACAAGAATTGTACTCTGTTGAAAAATTCTAATAAAAAATCTCCAAAGACTGTTGCGCGTCTATGATCTATATAAGGAAGCTTCTTTTCTAGGTAAATCGGATGCGCGTATTCCGAATTCAATGTCAATTCAGTGCGACGATTCACGGGTGGCCTCCGATAACTAGGTTTTTGCCAACTTTTTACCCGAAATCCGATGACATTTTTTAATGTCTTCACTACGATACCCATATTCAGTGCCCCAAATTACCTTATCGCTTCGCTCACATGTAGCCATCGATATTAAAAGCACCTTAAAGCCGCAAAAACGCATCGTTTTGCAATTTTCGCTAAATAATTAGATCCACATGCTAAAGGGGATCGGATACATGTTAAATGACTTCGGATTCGGTGTAAACGACCCAAAATACGTACAATAGTGGCAATTTAAATCACATTTTAATTGCTAGTTATTGATACAAAAAAAGGCAAAAATGGATCAGTCGGGAACGTGAGTCCAACCTTCTTTAGAATACGTTTTTTGGGTCGCTGAAACCGAATCCGCGGTCCATTTAGTTTGGAAATGTCTCGATTTCGAGATACTGATAAAAATTCTATTTTGTCTGGATAGAAGCTTGTAAATCGGGTGCGTAGATTTCGTATTTGATGTCAATTCGGTGCTAGGGTTCACGGGTAGCCCGGATAACTAGTTTTTTACCAAATTTTAACCCCAAATCCGGTCCGATGACACTTTAGAATTTTTCACGATAAACCCATATACGTATACAACGCTCCAAATTACCTTATTGTACAAAGGTTCGCCAACATGTAGCCATCGATAATAAAAATGGATTTTAGCAAATTAAAGTCGCAAAAATGCAAAGTTTTGCAATTTTTCGTTAAATAATTACGTCTGTATGATAAACAAGACCAGATACATATGAAACGACTTCGGATTCGGTTTCAGCTATCAAAATACGTTCAATAGAGATCATTTGAACCAAATATAAAGCATTTCAGTTTTTAGTTCCCAAGGATCAGTCGGGAACGTGAGCCCAATCATTTTTATCATACATTTGTTGGATCGCTGAAACCAAATCCGGGGCCCGATCAGTTTGGAAATGCCTCGTTTTCAAGATACTGGCAAGAAACTACTCCTATGATGGCCACAGTACCGAAAGGTTGCCCTCAGAGTAAGTCCTTTTGGAAAAAAGTTGCCACAACTGTTGCCATGGTGCCAAAGGAAGACTTCGAAGCTTATTGCGTCGTACTTAATGGATCGTTGTGGGAAGGGTTAATAAGTGAATTTAGAATGATAATTTTTGACGTATTGTTTTCCGCAAATTAAAAAAATTAGAGGTTATCGTAGTCTTTAAATGTCTGTGCAATCATACTAATGTTCATCCAAAAAGTTCAATTCTTAACTAGTTACAGCAAGATGATCCATATTTTAGTCTAAAATATGGATCTATCGGTGGAAATTTGTATTGTCATTAAACAGAAAGGTTGTGAAAAGATGTTTTCATGAAATCTAGTATTTTGACTTAATTTGAAATCTATGATAATACCCACGCCCTTAGTAAAAAAACAGTTCCATTCGCTCTGACTATGCGTTTAGTACTA